AGAGTACTGTAGCATCTGGCCAAAGGGCACTGAGGGATGAGGGTTATTCCAATCCTTAATCATTGTTCCGTGCTTGCTGTCGATCTGCTGAATTGATTTTAAACTCTCTATCCTGTGAATTCCAGACACAGACACCCTTTTATGATGCAGCTGGGCTGGATCCCGCAACTTTCAGTGAGCCCATTTTCAAAAATCATATCAGCGATGCAAGTGGAAGCAAATTGATTTTGGAATGAGGAATGTTGGCAAATGACTTTCGGTGGCAAAACGAATGGAAAGCTTAGTTTCTGCTTTTGCTGTTAACTCAGACTCTGATCTGAAAGAATGATTTCATTCCCAAATACAACTGCTGGTCCTGTATCTCAGGAAGAAAAATCCCCTTATTTAGGAGGTGGCTCACTTCAGATTGATTTGGCTTTGTGATGGCCGCACTGCAGCCACAATGACAGACATGCCTTTGAAAAGTATGCTGCAGATAGAAGGTGCAGAAAAGAGGCCCCCAAATGATTGAGAGGATGAAAGCAATTCCCTATCAGGAGGGGCTGCAGCAAAATCGGAGCTTTTTAGCTAGGTAAGAAGGTGTGTGAGGAGGCCCAGAACGGATGCAGTCATGACTGGTGTAGAAAACTGAATGCTGTAATATCAGTTGCAGTGTGAGGCTCCCTATGGGCTTCCTGAATATTCATTTTTCCAAGTGAAATATGAACAAATGGCACCAGAGGGTTTGCACCAGTAACATAATCTGCCCTCAGCTATTCTGCTTGATGATGATGACATCAAGCAATGTTTGATCGAACCATGGCTCTCCCTAATAAAGCTATTATCAAAGAAGCGTGGCTTTCCCTTTGCTGCGGTGAGATCTTAGTGAATGACAAGGTGCTCTTTTAAGACCCCCAGCTATGACAGATGTGCATTTAGCCGGTCTGGATCTCAAGTCCCACAAGCCATTGATGTTGGCTGGCCTACCTGTAGGAATGATGGGAACTGAATGCCCAAAACATATACAGGCCTCCTTTGGTTGGGTTCAGAACTTGTTCTCATTCTGACGGAGATGTTTCTCACACTTCGTATTGTTCAGATGTTCAGATAGCATCAGAGTCATAAAATCATTTTAGCTGTCTCAAGCTAAACGAAGCTCCTCACCGACTGTCTTTAATTATGTTGCCTTATAAATCAACACTTCTGCCATTATAATTGTAGGTCTACTGTTTTATTGTATTTTAATTAATATTTATTCCTTTACTGTAAATAGCCCAGAGTCGCTTCTAGGGAGATGGGCAATAACAAATGTGAAATATAAATAAATAAATAAATAAATGAAATGTTAGAAATTACACAATATATAACCTTTTGTCAGTGGATTTCTTTTTTTAATGAAATGGATTCGACAGAGGGCTTAGCATTATACTTTGTTTGCTCCCTTCTCTACTGCTTTGGTATATGGGACCATTTCTCTGGGCTGGTAAAATCTTCTGAGAAGGTTTATATAAGAATGGAGGAGAAACCTTGCTGAATTACACCAAAGAACACCATCCTGTTTCCTATAGTGGCCAGCCTGGTACCTTTGGGAAGGCCAGAAGAAGGATAGGAGGGCAATATCGTGGCCACTGACCTTTGTGCATGGACGGTCAACATATTGTCTTGGCTAAAACTGCCTGCCTGCCTGGATTAAAAATCAGATTTCTTTAGCATCTTGATCAGCTGGGTGTTAAGCAGAAATTAAAAGAGCTTTTCCTCTCTTCCCTGCAGCTTGAGTGTGATATGGGATGTAAGATAAATTCATGGAGGTTGAGACAATCATCAGTGACCTCAAGCCATGATGACTAATCTGATTAAAAGACCTCTGAGTTGACGGCCATCTCCCCGTGTTGTAGCAATGAATCCCACAGTTCAGCTGTTAAACAGCAGGCAGGTTTCTCCTCTGCTGAACAGGCTCCTGAACAGGTTTTGATGGAGCACTTGTGGGCGATCTCAAGTCCTCTCCTCGTCTGGAGAGGAATTACAAAGAGCCGGTCTGCTTGCCGGCTCTTCATTCCACCGCAGTCGGCGGCTCTGCTTTTAGCGGGGCCATCTTCAGTTTGCCATTTCTTCCTTGGACGTCGGGGCATGTTTTTTAATGCAGGAGTCAGCATGTCAGAAAAACTTTGCTGGATCCAACTCCAAGCTCGTCTTGTCCCAACAGAGTGCTTTTGGCAAGTCCACGAGGAGCAAACATGTCATCTTGCCTCTACTCTTTCCTGAAAGTGTTAGGAATTGGTATTATTGGGATTATTCCCATTCCCCATCCTTGCCCTGCTCAAGAACTGTAGTCATCAAAACCCTGCAGTTGAAAAACGCACCGGTTGGGATGGGCACTCTGTGCGAAATACTTCATTGTGATGGAATCTCAGGCTTGGGAACAAAAGCTTAGGCAAACAGTTTAGTCGCTCTGATAAACCCTGTGGATTTTCCCCTCCCTTCCTCTGCTTCCTTCTGAGGCATCCAAAACAGGCAGGCACAGACACCTGGAAATGCAAAAACGAGACTTGGCTACCCTCTACAGTTCTGCAGGGGTGGTATAAAAACATCCCTTTTCAGCAGTGCTTCTGTCCATGTGGAGATGGCTCTGTGGAATCCCTAAGCCGTATGCTCTCTCTCTCTCTAGGGAATCAAGATAGGTATTTATCCCATTTTAAAGAACCACCCTGGTAGAGAGCACAATGTCTGTCTCTCACTGCTTCTATCTGACCAGGACCCTGACATAACTTTCCTGGTTGCCCAATTTTATCATTTGTGGTATCTGTCCTATCTACGGTTGACGTTTAGCACAAATTTTGGTGATTGCCACTGCTCTTTGTACTACAGCTACTATACTAATGTGTTTTATGTAATTTTATTGCATTTTTTGAAAGTTTTATTAATGACTACAGGTCTTTGTATTTTATTGTTGTGCTTTCTGGCCCAAAGACTGTAATAAAGGTTTGATTTGAACCCTACACTTTTCAGAACGTTGTAAAATCTACCTCTCAGAATCCAGACATTTCTGAAATATGTTTGATTTGGAATGCAAACTTTTTGAAAATTGTGAAAACGAATTAGTGGTTACAACATGTGTGGAGGGACCCTATTTCAAGAAGATTGTACTGCCGCCTTATTTTCATTTTTTAATTTTTGAGCAAGGTGCCCGTGAATGGGGCAGTGATTCAGATCTAGAGGGGAATCCACCCATACACTTAGTTTCACATTTATAGGGTTAGAAATAAAACGGTGGAAGGAGCAAGATAACATGTTAACCTGTTAACATCATCCTCTGTGAGCTTCTGTTTCATGTTCCTGCCTCATGTTTAGTGCCGGTTAAGACTTATTAAAGTAAGCAAATTATACATCTGTAACTTCCCGGGAGAGGGAAAAAAGATAGGAGTCAAAAAGAGAAGAGAAAAGACTTAGCAACCTAAAGAGGAATACTTGGAAAAATGACCAAACCAATAAATAGTTTTGCGCAAATGGCCAAATAAATAGGAATGACTTACAACTTTTCCATGTGCCTTTATTTGGAAGCAGACCTAGCATCTTAAAAGGTGTACCATTTCATATTTTGTGGAAGGAGAGGAACTGAAGAATAACAGTGCAATCCTATTCATGTGTCCCTCTTTTTATGGAGCTTATGAAATTTGCAGAATAGAGTGTCGTTTTGCAAAACAATGTCAATTCTGCAAATCTCCGGATGGGTCGTTTCTTTCACGCCAGATCAAGTGTCTTGCAGAATTTTTTAAGAACACAGCGCTAACAGGGAAATTACATGAATGCCAGTTCTTCCAGCAGGAGTCTGAGAACTGATTTCATCCCCTTTGAGAGTATCACAATTTCCCCTCTGTAATAAACTGTTCTTGCTCATAGAGATTTCAGTAAAATGGGAAGAAGAGGAAACTATATTGATTGATCAATTGATAATGTGCCATCAGGTTGCTGCTGACTCTTAGCAATCACATAGAGTTTCTCCAGGAGGAAGGGTGTATCAAAAATCAGGCCTCACAAACAGTTTATTATAAATAAATGACATTAAATGTTCAAATTGGTTGCTATTTTCTTCTAAATACAGTACTTCCTGACTCATGACCTTTGAATGTTTTTAAGTACAGTAACATTTCCCCTGGGAAAAAAATTAATAAAATCATTAAAACATATTGTGATTGACTAATGGGGTCTGGCTTTTGGTGTGTCTATATGACAGGCCATGGATCTCAACAAATGCAGCACTGTTACCACAACATCATAATGTCCACAGCCTGAAATTCACTACCAAATTCCTCCCCCTTTTTTTTTTTGGCCATATTAAGGAAAATTTTAGGGCTTGATGAGTAATCAAGAACAGTAGTTGCTCAGATGATAATAGCATACATTATTTATGGTAAATTTGTAGGAGGTGGAGGGAAGGAGAATTTTTGTCATTTGAAAAATAGGGGAATATGTTGCATGAACATGTAATGATAGCCAAATTAACACCAAAATCATTTACTGTGGTTTTAATTTCATATTAACCCTATTTCAATTCCAGGGATTTTAGAATATCTTCTATTGAAGGAATTTGTGCCTATTCAACTCAGAAATTCATTTTAAAAGTGATTCCATTGAGTCATTAAAACAGTTATCCAGACTGAATTGATGACTAAGGTTAGACGTGCCTCTGAATCAATTCTGATAAACTTTCCCCCCAAACCAATTCAGAAATTTGAACTGGGCCACAGATATGAATCGAATAAATAATTCAAATTGGATTTTGCCTGATTTGTGCCTCCCTAATATGTGATTATATAACTTCATTAAATAAGTAGGCTGCAAAAAGTTAGGCAAAAAAAAGTTTCAGGTAAACATGGCAATCATTTTTTTTTTCCTATCAAGACAGCAAATCACATCTTTAATCTTAGTTGCTGTAGAAGCTGTGAAAATATATATGTTTCTGCTGAATGTCATAGGACAGAAGGAGAAAGTACATGCTAATCTTGTTTTGTTTTCCTCCTCAGTTGTATAACCAACTCACAAAGAAATAAACCTTGATGCCTCTAAACATCCAGTGAACACAAATGCAACACAATAACAGAACATTTCCTGCTTTGAAAGATGATAAGGATATGAACGTTTTCCACTGCTGTGTCTGGTACTTTTCCTGACTGACACACAGATTGCGACAAAGGCATTAACCAGTTGGATCTCTTGGAACCCTGAGCAGTCTTTCTACTAAAAGAAGAGAGAAGTTTCATCCAGATGTTGAGTAGGCACTGCAGAAAGGCAGCTAGTCAGTGGTAGAACATGTACTTTCTGCGCATGAACCCTGAAGTTTGAATCCCATATCTTGCATTAGTAAAGAAAGGATTTTCTCTTGATGACTTGGGCAGCTGTTATCAAACTGAAGGAAAAGTACTGGACAAATATGGGTCAAAGAGCTGACTTTGTCACTTTCTTTTGACCGTGATATAAGACTGGCAGAACTGAAGATCCTTCTATGAATGCGTCCATTTTCCAAGACTCAAGAGGCACAAAATCTTAAGCTCGGGTGTGTGACAACTTTGGACAACATGTTTGCTGATTTCGGACAACTGGACGGCTTCTTGTTCAGAAATATGCGTTGCCAATCCTTCCTTTCCGCAAACATCATTATGATAGGTAAATTGATTTAGTAATTATATTATGCACATGCTTTTTTATCTCTGGTGAGGAAAAAACAAAGAAGCATTTCTTGTGTAAACCAATTTGTTTCTTTTGCCTCTTGTATGGGGGTAGCCGTGATAATAGAAAACCCCCTTAGGCCTGGAAACATCTGTGGATTAATAGCCCAGGCTCTTGCATTCCATGGTGGGCTAGGGGATTGTGGGATGTAGGGTTGGATCCAAAAAATGGTGAGTGGAACAGAATGGCTTGCTCCTCCTATTTCACAATAGCCCATAATCTGCCATGGTTTCAATGCTTCCTCAAGAGATTCTGCAAGCTCAGAGCCAGGCCAAAGAATATTACTCTGTGCAGGATATAAAATTGCACAGAAGATATTTTCCATGCATACTCATGACTATTCATACTTATAATGTTGCATCCAGGTATATCTGTCTGGGACATTAAGCAGAACCTTCCCAGTGGTGCCACCTAGCACGGAGAAGGTCACCTCTACAGCTACTTCTTAGGGCCCCTCCTTTTTTATTTTTGAACAAGCTATTCTAACATCTGTTGTTTCTCCTAGTTTTTTCTCTAAAGTAGTTAACATTTTCCTGTTAGTTGTTTAATTATCTTGTGATGAATTCCATCTTGCTTTCGGTTTTTAAGTATGTGTGTGAGATATATAGATATAGGTTGCATCATCAACTACTTTTAAGGACCAAAAAAGAAAAAAAAAGCGGTTCTGTATATAAATCAGTGGGAGCAGCAACAAAACACTAATCATTGCAGTTAGCTCTGCCCTGTTCCAGGATACTCCATTCCATTCTCCACTTGCCTTTTTGTTGTTCTTCCTGCAGTCAGAATTCTGTTATCCTTGAGTAATGTCTGTTGTCAATGGATTGATTTATATGTATTGCTGCCTTAATTTTTTTTAAAAAGTAATCAATAATGTGTAAACCTCCATCTTTGTATTTTTAATATCCCTCCCTTTTGTTCTTCCCTCTCTTCAAAAGTTCAAGATGATTACCACTGGGTGACTTTACAGGCCGATCACTGTCTCTCAGGGTTGTCGCAACTTAAGGGAAACTCAGCTCCTTGAGAAAAGATGGGATGTAAATGCAGTAAATAAGAAATCTTCCCCTTACATGTGTATGATGCCATTTTGGTTACATATATATTAGCTTTCGTCCCTGGAACATGGGAAAGTGAAAGAATATCTTACCAGTATCCCTTTAATTTATACCGTATAATTTTGGATACTATATTATGACATTAGAAATCATTAAGGTCTATATTTTGACTGTGTTTCCTAGTTGCGTTCTCTCCTGCCTCTCTTCAGCAGCTCCTGAGCCACCTTTTGCTAGAGTAAAGAAGCCCCTGCAGGATTCTAGCAAAATAAATCTCTACATTGGACAGCTTTCTTGCTCCATAAATCCTATTGTGCTCCAAGAAAACCCTTAAGGCAATATTTTTCATAGTAGATAAAGCTGTCAGTGGGTACCCATCATAGTCTCTAAAAACCAGTAACTAGCAGGATGCTGTTGGACTCGTATATGGCTTGTAGGTAATTCCAGCTGGCATCTGGTTGGTCTTTGGATCTGGATTTATACATTAGATAGGCCTAACTCAGCAAGGTTATTGTGATTTTACCAACGTTCTTTATTATTCTTTCACAGCTGCCCACAGCTAATGGCTCATAGTTGCATCTCCCAATTTTTGCATCATTTTTATCTTCTGCAGATGTTCTTGATTTCTTGAGCCAAACTTCAAGCCCTTGTTTGGTTTTACAGTGCATCGCTTTATAATACAATCCTATATAGTCTATGACTAAATGTGGGGATTTTATAGATATTTTCTGGGTATTATCACATATTTTTAGCCACTGCCTGTGATATTTTTTTGTACCTGGGAGCTCAGGAAATAGAATTCTCATGTTTTGCCACCCTGTACCAAGGCTGTTCTTGGTTTCTGTTATGATGTAAAATGGAGACCCTGGGCAGGAAGTAACGTTTATTGGGCACGTTGGCTCATATATACTGAATCTCATTTTAAACTCTGATGGATAGTGAGGGATCCCTTAACCAGTGTTTTGAGATGGGCTGGATGAAATGACAAAGATGATGAACCAGACAGGGTGATTTTAATAAAAAGCTAGGATACAGCAAAATAAAGACCTTGGAGCAGACACTTTCTAAATTTAGAGCAGCGGTTCACAGACTTTTCCTTTATGTAACCCATTACATCATCCGTGAAAGGTTTTGAAGGAGTCAGAAAGGACAGGAAGACAGGGGTCAGAAATGTAGCATTTGTAGATTCCATGGCACATCTTAGATGCTGCTTAAGGCTGTGTGACCCAATTTAAAATATTGGGTAAGAACTTCAAATTCTCATGAGATTTCAAGTGATCTAGGGAGAGCTTCTTGATGAAGACCGTCCATCTTTGAGCTGTTCAGTCCACCATAATTCCCAAGAAATGTCTGTTCCGATGGTAAACACTATACGTAGTTCAGGGTAACAAAATCATCTGCAAGAAGACTCCCAAACTTGGAGAACACGAAGAACCCAACAAATACCTGTTTGTACAACATTCCCAAACATGTAGGAGTCAGGATGAGATTCTTTAAAAAAAAGCAAAAGAAAGTCTATACATGGATGTGGAGGTGCCAAGCAGTGGCTGGAACTTGCAACTGAGAGCAGAGTGAAGACATGGTATATTTTGGCCTCGCTTTGGAAACCAAGGAATTTATCGCAGGGGAAAATCCATGGAATTTGTCAACAGCAAATAAGCTACAGTATTTTTTTAAAAAATCTCACACTTCTTAATAGCTGAAAATCTCTAGATGGTAGTTCAAGGTTTTGTTTTGTTTTTGTTTCCTGACAGACTTGGCTGCTCTTGGAAAAGAATTCTGGCTGGCAAATAAAGCGAGCAATAATAAGTATATTTGTGCATTTGAGGGATTTATCAACTAATGTTCTTGTCTAGCGAGGCCGCCGATCACGATAGGCCGCCATGGCGTTGTGTTATGTCTGATTTTAGAGGCATACCTGCTTAGTTTTAGAGTTGGCCTCCCACTGTGACCTCAGAAGCTGGCTTATTCTGCTTAGACATATGCAGGCGCATAAAAATAAACGGGACATCGGCCACATGCAAAGAAATGAAAACTATTGTTACTGACCTTTCTTTACTGAGGTCCTGCGCACACAAAGGAGATGCAGTGAGACAAGCTGTGGAAGGCAGTTCCTAGGGTAGTTGAGCTGGTCTGGTGCTCCCTAAGATACACAGCCTGAAGCTGCAGACAAACCAGAACCTTTTTTCCCTCCGTCCTACCTGGTCCTTAGTTTAGGTTGAAGCGTCTTTTACCATTTTGAATCTTCTGAATCATTTTACCCTCCTCTTGGTTTGGTAGGGTGGTGTGCTATTTAATTAGCATTCGATTTCGTTTTTGAAATAGGGATTTGTACATTGAAAATAGGAATGTAAAAGAAATCTTCCGTGGGTTTCCAGCAGAACAGACCGATCAGATCTGGCAAAATTAATTTTGTTGTGGCACGGGCAACAATGTGAACTATATTAGAGCCCCTCTTTTTCAAGTCAAAAATCAGTGTAAAAATCAATTAGTGAGAGAAGCCTTCAAAAAATAACACGTCCTTACGAAAGTGGAGTACCATATGATACATCTATATTTTAAAAGTTGTGTTGGAAAATGAATACAACAAAGAATAACATCAGGGAAATGCACCTTAAAATAGAGGGTTTTCTCTGGGAATTTATATTAAGTTATTTATATTGGAGGAGGTTGTGTGTCTGTTAGGAAAAGCTGTGATGTGAAACTGATAAAAGTGTTTCTAACGTGTGCTGTAAAGTAAAATATTGAAGAAGAGAAATGGAGAGAATTAGTAACTGGGATGATAAACTGGAATGGATTTATATTGTTTCTGTTATCTGTACAGTAGCAACAAGCCACTTGGCTTATCCTTTTTCCTAAATAAAACTACAATACAGTATAACTTGTTAAATGGTAACAGTAATAGATTAATCTGCTTCTTGAGAATTTAGGATGGTACACTGTTATAATAGGAGAGCCTTTTAAGCAATATCTTCACAGATTCACAGACTTTTGCTCCTGGACATTTGACTTGATGGTGAGACAAGTTCTGGTTGAGAAATCACATACTGTATATTTGCAAAACCAGGGAAAGTTGAAAGGAACTGGATGTTTATGCAGTCATGAAAAGTAGCTTCCCTCTGGGCAATTATACCATGAGACCACTGGTGGAGGGAAGGTGCATTAGTGCATTGCCCCTTTCCTTGTTTTGAAGTCCCCCTCTCTGTTCTCTTAAAATCCGACAATACTTCATTGAAGTGAAGGTTACCATGGAAACTGACTGCGAAGGGATGCAGCTGAGCGTCCGCTGTATGAGAAATGAAGAAGTCCTGCAAACGCAGAGGTGGACAACAGGATTTTGCCTTTGGAACCCTTCCTTTTGACTTTCCGTGCACTAGTGAATTTGATGGCTCATCATGTCTCTCTAACCATGGTTAAAACATGTCCTAGTAACTGGGTTTTTATGTTCTGCCCATATGACGTTGCCTTTGTCTCATACCCGGCCCACAGCTGAGGCAGCTACACAGGGATGGACTATGCTTCTGTGTTTCTATTCTGAAGCCGAACAGGTGTTCTGGAGGAGGCATAGGCATGGATGTCACCCCTGGTGAGGTCTTCTTAAAGAAGCTGAATCTTTTCCTGGGCTCACAGTAGCTGTGTAATCCCAGAGAAATGCCCATTTGAGCTACGGAGATGTCAACAGGGCATGAGAGAGAACTTTGGAGAGGAAGTAGACATCCTGTTGGTGTCTCTGTAGCCCAAAGACACAGCTTCTTTAAGGAGGCACCAGCAGGTTTGGCAAGCCCAACCACACCTGCTCTGTAGCCCTTCTTTAGCCTCAGATCCAAAGGGCAGCTCATCTCTACAGTTTCCAATCATCTCTAGCTTTTCCTGTTCTAAAATAATGTT